CGTGGTTGTAATCCGATTTCGCCCAGTTCGCCACTATGACAAGAAACATAAAAAGAACGTTACGCCACCGAATTTGTGAAATCGTAAGCAGATCTTCAAGATATGGTTTTCACCTATAAAATTGGCTGTGCCACAGCCACACTGTCTAATTTGAACCTTCCTATAATCATCTGTATACCATCTCAGAGAATAAAAACTTAAGTTCTGGCTTGTTTAGGCTTGATTATGCCTTTTAGTATTTTTAACAGTTACCTTTATGGGTGGCGGATTGCCACCCGATTTCAAACTATTTTCACACCCGTCCAATAGAATGCAAAAAACATTTGCCTTCCAGTGACTTTATTATGTAAACATTCAGCGTTAGGAGTTAGCACATTAAACCTATTAGAGCGGACACGCCCACTTTTAAAAAAAAAATTTTAAACTGCAGATGGCCCCTCCCTAATTATCCGTTGTACCAAATAACAGTCTGATCTTATGCGAGCTTCAGTTATGCAAGGTTATGTTGTTTTGATAATGGCGTTTTGTGGCGTGCCAGTGATCTCGTTACGCCCATCTGCCCGAATTTACCAACCTCTCCATGAAAACATGTACTACCAAGTTCAAAAGTGACATCTCAAATTTTTTACTCAAGTTGAGAGCTTGCACGGACGGACGACAAGACGTACGGACGGACAGACGAACGGACGACAGCAGTCACCCGATTTCAAACTGTCTCTTCATCCTGATCATTATATATATATAACCCTATATCTAAACTCGATGTTTATGATACAAAACAACCTAGCGTGAAACAAAACTAATTAATACCTCTGTAGCAAAACAGTTGCCAGAGAGTATAAAAAACGGGAAGCTAAACAGCAATCAATACTAGCAAAAGGAATTAAAACAGGCAATTCAAAAAAACCCCCTAGCAAGGACGAAAAAGTATATTAAGTTAATTACTGTAAACATATTATTGATAATTTTAATTGTATAACAATAAAATTGTATAAAAATTTTCTGAAAATAACCCGTAATATCAAATATTTTAAGCCTAAGTACTTTGAGCATTGTTGTAGATCGAAACTTACAAGTACTCAAATTTATAAAAAAAAAAAATTGTTATAAATGAAGGCTCGACCAGCATATAACAAATATTTTGAAACGCGCGATCACCACTCGTAGAGTGACCCTCCGTCTTATTAACATAAAAACTCAATTTGGGATT